TGTGTAGGAGGGTGTAAAGGGTGCTGAAGGTGTGTAAGGATGGATAGGGATGTAGGAGGTGTAGGGATGTGTAGGAGGGTGTAGAGATGTGTAGAGGGTGTAAAGGTGTGCTGAAGGTGTGTAAGGATGGATAGGGATGTAGGAGGGGTGTAGAGATGTGTAGGAGGTTGTAAAGGGGTGTGCTGAAGGTGTGTAAGATGGATAGGGATGTAGAGGGATGTAGGAGGGTGTAGAGATGTGTAGAGGTGTAAAGGGTGTGCTGAAGATGTGTAGGATGGATAGGGATGTGTAGGGAGGGTGTAGAGATGTGTAGGGAGGGTGTAGAGATGTGTAGAAGGTAAAGAGGGTGCTGAAGGTGTGGGAAGGATGGATAGGGATGTGTAGAGGGTAGGGATGTGTAGGGAGGGTGTAGTGATGTGTAGGAGGGTGTAAAAGAAGGTGTGAGGATGGATAGGGATGTAGGGTGTAGAGATGTGTAGAGGGTGTAGAGATGTAGGAGGGTAAAGTGAAGGTGTGTAAGATGGATAGGGATGTGTGGGAGGGTGTAGGGATGTAGGGAGGGTGTAGGGATGTGTAGGAGGGTGTAGATGTAGGGGAGGGTGTAAAGGTGAGTGAAGGTGTAGGGGATGGATAGGGATGTAGGAGGGGTGTAGATGTAGGAGGTGTAGGGATGTAGGAGGGTGTAGAGATGTAGGAGGTAAAGAGGGTGCCGAAGGTGTGTAAGGATATTTATTTTCTGAGATAAATTTCTGTTTTTATGATATCTACTTGAAATAGGTAATATTTTTTGAAAGTCGATATCTACTTCTGAAAAGTTTATAATTCTTCCTGTAACAGAGATACTGGGAAAGAGACACCAACCTGGAGTGATTATTTCCTATTTCTGTTATTCAAATTCCATTTTCTATGATAATCTATTTCGTAAAAGGTAAATATTTTCCAAAAGTCGATAATCCATTTCTGAAAAGCGATACTATTTCAGATAAACCACAGCAGGCACAAATTTTAGAAGAGATTATTTTTATATGATACAACAGATATCTACTGGAAATTAGGTAATATTTTTAAATGATTATCATTTTCGAAAAGTCGATAAACTATTTTAAAAGATACCCATTTTTCGAAAGTAGACACACCTTCGGAAAGCAGATTATTTCATTTCTATGATACAAATTTCTCGTTTATGATATATAAAACCACCTTCCTAGAAAGTAGATATTTCATTTCTGATCCAACCCATTTTCATGATACCTTACTTCAAAATTAGGTAATATTTTCGAAAGTCGAAATCTGCTTTCAAAAGTCGATAATCTACTTGCTAAAAAGTAGATATCTACAAAGACACTCTGTAGGAGATCATGGAGGGGTGGGTCTGTGGGTGTGAAGAAAGGATATGCAGAAGGGGTAAGGAGGACGGGAGGGAGGGAGGGAGATGTGGGAGGAGGTGTGGGTAAGGGAGGGAGGGGTAGGGAGGAGGTGGGGGGTATAGAGGGGGTAAGGGAGGAGGTGGGTATGGAGGTTGAGGAGGTGGAGGTTGGAGGAGGTATGGAGGTGGAGAGAGGGTGGGGGAGGGGAGGTGTGGAATGGAGGGTGGAGGAGGAGGAGTATGGAGGGTGGAGGAGGGTGTGGGTAAGGAGGTGGGGAGGAGGAGGAGTATGAGGGAGGAGTGGGGTATGGGAGGTGGGAGGAGGAGGCATGGAGGGAGGAGGAGGGAGTATGGAGGGTGGAGGGGTAAGGGGAGGTGGGAGGAGGAGGAGTATGGGGGGAGGAGGAGTGAGAGTATGGAGGGGTGGGAGGGGAGTGGAGAGGGAGGTGGAGGAGGGGTATGGGAGGTGGGAGGGGGAGGAGGGGTGGGGTGGGAGGAGTGTGAGTAGGGAGGTGGAGGAGGGGTAAGGAGGTGGAGGAGGTGGGGTATGGGAGGGAGGAGGGAGTAGGGAGGGGGAGGAGGGAGTGGAGGTGAGGAGGGGTGGGAGGAGGGGTGTGGAGGAGGGTGGGGTATGGAGGGTGGAGGAGTGTGAGTATGGAGGGCGTGGAGGAGGGTATGGAGGTGTGGAGGAGGTGTGGGTATGGAGGTGAGGAGGAGGGTATGGAGGGTGTGGAGGAGGAGGAGTATGGAGAGCGAGGAGGAGGGAGGCGGAGGGTGGGAGGAGGAGGAGGGTGGAGGATGAGGGGTGTGGGTATGGGAGGTGTGGGGGGATATGGAAGCAGTTTATTTTGCCAGAAAACACAGACAGAGTTGATAATAATATAAGTGATGAAGAGAGCCTGAGCTGAAGGCACTTGATATACAGTATGTATACCTATCTCATGGGGAGGTTTTATGTTACACTAAATTATTTAATGACTTACTGTAATTACATGAGATAGATATTCGACATATTGTAGCGACTATGCACAGAACTTATACTTTATTATGGAGATAGAGGAATAAAGCAAAATTAGTATTTACTATATATTTTTTCCGATATGCAGACAGTAAGTCAGCAACCACAAAGTATAGATACTGGCAGATTATCGGAAGTTATCCTGTCAAACGTATCGTAACGTTAAAATAACAATACTGTTTTTATAAACAAAATTTAATTTACTAACATTTCAAAAATTCCTACCCGCTCACCCCTTCCAAAAGTACAGTATTTTTAAATCGAAAATGTTTAATCTGGTTGTCATTGGTGTTCCCAGAGTGACCGACCACATTCCCTTCAGCTCTCAACATAGGTATGCGTGGCAGCTGAGAAGGGGTGAGGAGTGAGGGGGAATATGAAGTGCTAATGATATTTAGAGAGTGGCCCCAAAGGATTGACATTTTACGCATCCTGGTGACACTTGAGCAAGATGTCTGTGCGTGTGTGTGTGTGTGTGTGTGTTCATGTAAGGTAGACACTGGTAATGTGTGTTAGTGTGGCGGGGGCATGCACAATACAGTTATCAGTGGACGTATTGCCCGTGGCTTCAAGGAAGAGCCACCACACCAAGACCTTATGTACATATTCTCGGTGACACATCCTCAGGCTTCCTGCTGTACTGGCCACTCCTGGATCCTACAATAGTGCTGTTTTTTCGCCTGTCACAGCCTCTCCAGCATACCTCAGACCACCATATGACGTAGAAGTTGGTCACTGCTTATATACTTTGAACGTTATGGGTTATCCCTCCGGGCTCCCTTGACGACGCACAAAATTGTCTAAACAAAAAGTAACTGAGGCGTCACTGACGAATTACAACATGTGAGAAGTCCAGCACTACTTCTGTTGTAAAGTATTTACACACATTAAATAGAAACAGTTTATGAAAGGCTTCCACTAAAATGTTGTAAATACAGCCCCTGACAGTACTGATATTGATATAACCAAGCCAAGTGCGCGTGCATGCAGTAGTAAGGAAATGCTCAATGAAGGTAGTAATGGGGAAAACAAGACAGCAGGGTATCATGGTGTGCCAAGAGGGGGGAGGAGGGGGGTTGTGTTGGTACTCGTTACCCTGTCTCTGTGTTGGCTGACTCATGCTGAGGATGTATACAGTACATCTTAAGTTAAAATAGACAACCTACAAGCATAATTTGGCTGATACTACCCGAGCTTCAAGGAACAAGGGTTTAACGACCAGTGATAATGGATGATAGCTGGGTCATGTTAGACAACGTCTGCTGAGGTCTAAGTAAGGTTATGATGATGAGTAAGGTGGTGGGACAAAAAGGAAGTAAAAAGTTAAGAAGAA